ACATGCTTCCTGCTTTTATTTCTCAATCTCTTGCCAAACAGATTTTAAGGACTGGCAAGTCAATCAACTTTCTCAGAGTTTGTTGTGATGATCGAGGTTGGGCTGATGCTGCAACAGAAGCAGCAACAGCTGTTGGAACTACAACCACGAGAGGAAGTCTTGGATATGGTGAAACTGATGCACTTGAATCTTTGGTTACAGAAGCAGCAAAAAGAATCGATAAGCATTTACTTGAACTCATGCACAAAAGATACATGTTCAAGGAACATTGTCTTGCCATTAAGCGCTATTTGCTTCTCGGTCAAGGTGATTTTGTACAATATCTAATGGATATTGTTGGTCCTGAGCTTTCTGAGCCGGCTAATACTATCAGCTCATTTAAGCTGGCAACCTTGTTGGAGAGTGCTGTCACATCGTCTAATGCGCAGTATGATGGCTGTGATATACGGTCTAGATTAAGGGTTAAGATGATGCCACATAACACTGGAGATAGAGGGTGGGATGTATTTTCTTTGGAATACGATGCAGGTGTTCCTTTAAATACAATTTTTACAGAGTCTGTAATGACAAGATATATAAGAGTCTTCAATTTCTTGTGGAAACTCAGAAGAGTAGAACACGCACTAACTGGCGCTTGGAAGACCATGAAACCAAATTGTATCACTTCCCATTTCTTCTCCAAGTTGCCCCAAGCTGTTAAATTCCAGTTGATTTTAACTTCAAGAAAGTGTCAAGTTCTTTGGGATGAGATGAATCACTTTGTTTCTAATTTGCAGTACTACATCATGTTTGAAGTTTTGGAGGTCTCGTGGTCTAATTTTGTGAAAGAAATGGAACTAGCTAAAGACCTTGATGATCTTCTTGCTGCGCACGAAAAGTATTTGTTTTCAATTTTAGAGAAGTCTTTGCTTGGAGAACGTTCTCAGGATCTTAACAAGACACTCTTTGTTTTATTTGACCTAATATTGCGTTTCCGAAGTCATGCAGATCGACTCTATGAAGGCATTAATGAGTTGCAATCAAGGTATTGATCTTTTCCCTTCATCTCTATATTAAATTTGGATTTTGAGTTTATAGTTATTTTTAATGTTTCTAACTGCTTGTTTCTCCTCATAAATTACAGGACTGCGGAATCATCAGCTAATTCTCGTGATAAAGTCAAGTCACGGGGAAAATCAAATGATAAATCGTCAGAACCAGGGTCATGGCTTGGTGAAGGCCGAAAGGCCTTCACTCAACGTGCTGGAGAATTCCTTAGAAATATGGGAAATGATATAGATGCAATTGGAAAGGATTATGCAACCATCTTTGAGGGGTTCATTTCACAGTTGCCTGTGCAGCAGCACATTGATTTGAAGTTTCTCATGTTTAGGCTCAACTTCACTGAGTTCTATAGTCAGCTACACCCAATTACAAGAGGAAATCTTTTTTAGCATCGTCACTATTACGCTTACTGATTTGCAGTTTGAAATTTGTAGTGCTCTTTCATCACCTGCATCCAGTTATAGGGAGGAAGATCTATGGGATCCTGCATATAATGCAGATGTTTCACTGGCTTCTGAAAGTGTTCAGCATGTTTCCATTTGCCAAATAGCTACCATGCACACGATGAAAGACCGTTTTTTGGCCATCTTAACCCAGGCCTACCAGTTTGTATGTCTTTGTTTGGCTTTAGGCATTCCATCTTTCCTCATCGTTTCGATTCTCCTGGAAGTTTTTCCACATCAGGTTCTCTCAACTGTCAGTTTACCTCATTCACCAATACTTATCTTTCTCTTCAGAAAGCACTTTTAGCTTGTGCTTTGTTGATTGAGCGGAGAGGGTGGATTGATGTTACTAACCATCGTGCGACATTGTAGTTCTGTTGGGGTTCTATTTGTGTGTTTATTTTATTTTTTTGGCTGCTATAGCAAGCGGCTCGGAGCTTGTATATCTGTAAATGTAGTTTTTGTTCTAAAATTAGTAAATCTTGATTTGCTGAACACTGACTAGTCAATCAGCTTTTCCTTTTCATTTGCTTGTACTGTCTCAATGATTAGAAGATAATGATAATTGGGTTTCCAGTCTGTTGCTTCATTTACTATTGCTTTTGTTGAAATGGACACTTGTGAGTTCTTCCATTCTCTTTTGCGTAACAGTATATCTGTTAACTTCTAACAGTACGAATGGTAATTCGTTCAGCGAAAAAATATGTTATTACTATAATTCTGATCTTCCAACAGACTGACCCAAAATAAGTCAATGAAACAATTAACATACAAGTAAGTTCTGTGTTATATAGTTCCATCTATGTTTTAAAAGCAAGGAACTTATAAAAGGGAGACTTAAAATTGGGCTTGTGACACAACTCTGAAGGGGAAAGATGAAAAACTCATTGTCAATATCTCTTTAACTGTACAAGCGAGCATCAAGTTGAGATGGCCGAGTTGGTCTAAGGCGCCAGATTAAGGTTCTGGTCCGAAAGGGCGTGGGTTCAAATCCCACTCTCAACATAAATATTTTTCAGCACTTAACTTTTTGCTAGCCCAGCCCAAGAAAGTCCCTTTTCAGATAGCTCAGCCCAAACCGGTTCAGATGTATTTTCTGGTAAATCCACCAATTTCAGGAGTTGGGTGGAAGCTTACCTGAATATAATATCCCAGTATTCACTATCCTAAAAATACCTTCAAAAGCGACATTTCTTGTTTGGGATCAGTATTCAGTTTAATCTTTCCTACACAAGGAAAAGGCCGAGCAATTAGTTTGACTTGTTTAGATATAGAAGTTTGTGGAGGAAATACTTCAATAATTTCCTTAGCATAGTCTCTAATTGTGAATTAGTTTAGTATGGTGTAATATAATAGTGACATTGTCTTGAATACTTTTTTTTACTGCTTAGAATCCTTTGACTGGCAAGTTTACTGGGGACATTTTATATGAGTTTGGAGGGAAACTGTGATACATTTGGGTTAGTTTCATGAATTTTTTATTTTATTATATTAAAGTCATTAACCTATCTCTTGAAATTGTCACTCAACTTTACCTAAGTATCACATAAAATCACTAAAAGATAACAAGAAAGATATTTGCTATGATACTTAGAGTGACCTTTTAATTAAATATGTGGGCTTCTTTGTTAAGAAATACTATTATTTTTGTGACATTGTTTAATTTAATTTTAAGTAAAATATTTTGCTGAATTTGATTGCAATAAAGTAAAAGTTGATTGATATTAATCTCTAAAAGAAAAGAGTAAAATGCACGGTATATATGTACTCTTATTTTAACACATTTAAAAATAATACTTCTAAAGCATAAGAAGGTATAAACAAATAAAAAGGAAACATAAGAAGAATTTGAACCCCATATGTATGTATATATATATATATATATATATATATATATATATATATATATAAACACGAATGTTTGAACACTAAATGTTGAACGACAAAAATATCTCTAAAATATTGACTGACTTTTATACTCTTCAAAATTAAATTAATTTCTTCAAACAAAACAATAGAATATGGGACAAAACTATAACATTTAGTGCATGAAATATAGGAGTTTGAAACTAACTAATACTAGAAATGTTAAAACCATAAAACAACGTGAATCAAGTTATAGTACCTAAAATATAGGAGTTTGTTACCAACTAATAGTAGAATTTCTTAAAGCCACCTATCATTGGAAAAATATAGAAGAAGAATTTTGTATATGGGTGAAATCGAGCACATGATACATCCTAGCCTCCGACAAGATAAGCCAAGTTCGAGCCATGGCAATAAGGGACCGAAATCGAGCCAAAGTCCCACTGGACTAGAACCCGGGGGCATGATGCCTGCCTTCGAGAATATCGAGGCCATGATCTCGGAGGTTGTCCTAGCCTCGAGCGACTTCGAAGAACATTGTCAGACAATCCAGCATAGCCAACAGAAGGCCGAAATATCCGGGACATGCCAAATATTACGGCAGAGATCTCGACACATATCGATAAGGACCGATAATTAGTAAATCATAATATTTTTTACCTTTTATAGAGTTGTACCTAAAATAGGACTCCCCTACTAATAATTCATTTTGACACATTGTAACGCGCACTCAAAAGCAATACATTATTATTTTCTTTGTCTTTAAGCTCTTGTTCTTCTGCTTATCGACACTGGTCATGGTGAGCCCTGCTCGATGGCAATTATTCCTTCAAGGCTGAAATCATCCGACTCGTGTGGTTTGAATTTATCTTATCTTTATTTACTCAATAGCAACTTAATTTATCACTTTGTGTCAAGTTAATCCGTATCCTTAAAACCACTTATAAATTTAATTGTTATCCGATTTTGAGGGTAAACAGTTTGGCGCCCACTGTAGGGCTAAGGATAATAACGGTAATTTGATACAAATTCTCGTAACACACCCTATTTTACACTTGTTCTTTGAAGTGTCTTTGATTCCAGGTTAAAATCAAAATGTCAAACCCACAGTCTCCCCCTTTAAACACGGATACAAAGTCCAACCACCATGACGAGAACAACAATGCAGCACCCGGTAACAAGGTGCCCCTAGTCGATCTTGGAGAAGTTCCCGTGGCAAACCCCATCGACGCCAGTTCACATTTGGCCATCAACACAAATTTGCCTACCAACCCTGAGAGCAGCGTACGCGGGGAAATTCGATCAATTGCGCAGAATACTCGCAATGGAAAAAACAATGGGATCAACTTGCGAGTGATCTTCTAAATGTTACAGGCTCAACAAGCAGTGATAGCCCAGTTGCAGAACCAAAGCCGAACGCCGAGCAGGGATGAACCTGAGCTATCCCGGGAAGTCACCCGCAGAAATGAACCAATCACGGAGAGGTCAAATGAAAATGAATCGGGGACTAACCCCGAGATTATAAAAATGCTTGAGGAATTGATAAAACGGATAGAATCGGGGGAGAAGAAAATCGAAGCCAATGACAAAAAGGTAAAAACCTACAATTCTAGGGTCTATCAAATCCTAGGAGCGCCTATGATATTGAAGGGCATAGGATTTCAAGAAGTTTGTTCAAAAACCTTTTCCTCCGAGCGCAGCGCCGAAGCCGATCCCAAAAAGGTTCCGCATGCTCGAGATTCCTAAGTACAACGGAATGAGCGACCCAAATAAGCATGTGGCCTCTTACACATGCGCCATCAAAAGGAGCGACTTGGAGGATGACGAGATCGAGTCTGTCCTGCTGAAAACATTCAGGGAAAATCTATCCAAGGGAGCTATGATATGGTATCACAACCTACCTTCTAATTCTATTGACTCGTTTGCTATGCTTGCAGATTCATTCGTCAAAGCACACACCGGGGCTATCAAATTCGAGACCAGGAAGTCAGACCTTTTCAAAGTGAAGCAGAGGGATAATGAGATGCTCAGGAAATTCATGTCCCGGTTTCAAATGGAACAGATGGACTTGCCTCCGATCGCAGGCTATTAGGCCGTTCAAGCCTTCACCCAAGGAATCAATGTTCGAAGCTCGTTGGCTTCACATCAGTTGAAGCAAAATCTGGTGGAGTACCCGGCTGTCATCTGGGCCGACGTGCATAATCGGTATCAATCAAAAATAAGGGCCGAAGATGATCAACTCGGGCCCCCTTTCGGGTCCGTTTATCCTGTCAGATCAGTTGACAGAGTCAAGAGAGACATAGATGTGAGCCAATATCGAACATGGATCGGTATCAACCATACAATAAAGACAGAAGAGGTAGTGGATCTGGGAGAAACCTCGTGAAAAGTAAAAAAAGAAGTGATCAAGGTCAAAACAACCGGGGACTCTTGAGCAAAAACAGTTTTGACAGGCCCATCGGGCCGAAAGAAGCGCCAAGGCTATCGGAGTACAATTTTAACGTCGTCGCCGTCGCCATCGTATTCGCCATTGGACATATCAAGGACACCAAATGGCCTTGACCTCTACAATATGATCCAGCCCAAAGGGATCCTAACCTAATGTGCAAATATCATGGCACTCACGGTCACATGACAGAAGATTGTCGACAATTTAGAGAGGAAATAGCCCGACTATTCAATAACGAGCATCTCCGAGAGTTCCTAAGTGATCGAGCCAAGAACCACTTTAGGAACAGAGATTTTGGTAAACAGGTTGAACATGAGGAACCTCAGCATGTCATTAACATGATCATCAGTGGGATCGATGTCCCCTAGGGGCCAATGCTGATGCGCACCAAAGCATCTATCACAAGGAAAAAACGGACTCGAGATTACGTTTCAGAGGGAACTTTATCTTTCAACGACTAAGATGCTGAGGGGATCACGCTTTCCCACAACGATGCACTAGTAATATCAGTACTCATAAATAAATATCGAGTTAAATGTGTGTTAATTGATCTAGGTAGCTCGGCCAACATCATCAGATCGAGGGTCATGGAACAACTCGGCCAACAGAATCAGATTGTGCCTCCTGTTCGAGTCCTAAACTGGTTCAACATGGCATGTGAGACCACTAAAGAGGAGATAACGTTATGGGTGAACATCGCCGGGACCGTTCAGGAAACAAAGTTTTATGTGATCGAGTGGGACATGAGGTTCAATGCTCTATTCGGAAGACTATGGATTCACAACATGATGGAGGTACCCTCAACTCTGCAGCAAGTGTTGAGGTTCCCGACGCCGGAAGGAATAAAAATAGTTTACGGGGAACAACCGGCCTCCAAAGAGATGTTCGCTATCGACAAGGTGGTACCGATATCAACACTTTCGGAACCAAAGGAGCTGGGTCCGGTCACCATGAGAGAAACCAAATAGCAACTACTGACACTAGATCCGTCCCAACCGGAGAAGCAGAAGATGGGTGAGGATGATGACTACGGGGTTCCGAGGTCTTTTGTAGCTCCCGATGACTTAGACGCTACCAAGTCGACGGTCAAGGATCTGGAGCAAGTCATACTAAACTCATTCAATTTCTTATAGCTAACAAAGATTATTTTTCTTGGTCCCACCTTGATATGACAGGGATCCCGTCGGAAATAACCATTCACAGGCTAATCTTGGACTAAAAGTTCCACCCGGTCAAGCAGAAGAAGAGACCCCAGTCCAAA